ATCTCTTGACCTCGTGATCCACCCGCCTCGGCCTCCCAAAATGCTGGGATTATAGGCGTGAGCCACCGCGCCCGGCTTTAGAAATTATATTCCTTACTAGAAATCTGCACATCTTTTCGTGAAAGTATATAAATCTATGTGGCTGTGTCAGTGAGCGTGCATGTAAATGTCTACGTGTCTATTTGCAAGTATTTGTTTGTAAAGCATATCAATGGGCGTTTATGCCCTTTCTGCTCGAGAAACCTCTAGGTAATCCAGTTCTCTATATCAGCACCAGCAGCGAAGTCAAAAGAAGACCTCTGAGTAAATCATTAATAAGCAGAATTAGCCCTTTCTCCAATCAACTCTATTCCTGGGTCTTCAGGAAATAGGGCAAAACAATTAGGGTGAAATCAGAGTCTGTCAGGGTCAAACTTCGTTCCAATTGTGGTGAAAGCAACTAGAGTCAGGACTATCAGGGGCGGTGACAGATTAGCAGTGGTCTGTCTGCAATGAGCATGTGCTCAAACTAACATGGATACCATCTTGGTCTTCAGCCTAATCATTGCATACTATGATGCCAACAAGAAAGGTAAGTAATTCTCTGACCTAATCTCCTGGAGAATACAGAGAGAAGGCTAGAAAGGGTTTAGGGGTCTCTTCCACCAGATAGAGATTAGCTAATATCCAGCAAGCAATACTTTCCAGAGGTAATCCCACATATCCACTCTCCTCTAAGAAGGACTACAACTTATTCATTCTAGAGAGATAGCTATCTGTTTCAAGATGAGAGCTCTGCAGAGAATGTGATGCATTCTTATGTCTTGTTCATGTAATTAAAAGTCTTTTCACTGTTGGATGGCTTTCTTTAGAGTTACAGTATTGTTATCACCTAAGATTCCCAAATTCATAACTGTTCATAAGATATTGACCTTTTTTTTTTAAGGTGGTACATGTAAATAGCTAGATGATGATGTTCTTGGGTGGAGAGAGCTGAAGGAAAGGGTGATATGGGGGTGGAATGTCACCATTTGCTGCTCTTTGGTAACTGCTTATTTAAAATATGATTTTTCAAAGTTTCATAAACATTTCATCTCTAAAATTAGCTAATCAAGGCTGGATTTTGATAATACAAGGCTCATGCCTGTAATCCCGAGACTGGTGGATCACTTGAGGCCAGGAGTTCGAGACCAGCCTTGCCAACATGGCGAAACCGCATCTCTACTAAAAATACAAAAATTAGCCAGGCCTGGTGGCATGTACCTGTAATCCTTGCTATTCAGGTGGCTGAGGCACAAGAATCACTTGAACCTGGGAGGTGGAGGTTGCAGTGAGCTGAGATCATACCACTCTGCACTCCAGCCTAGGTAACACAGTGAGACCTGTCTAAAAAAATTAAAAAAATAAATAAAATTAGCTAATTAGAATTAAGGCCAGTGGCATAGGGTGCAGCAATAACAAATTTAACAAATTATAAAAATGTCACAACCCTGTGAATTATGTGACAAAAAGCATAAATAACTAAGACCTATGCTTCTGTGGAAACCTATAGAGAATCCTTGTCCAAGGTCAGACAATATAAATCTCCAAAAGTTTTATTTAATACAAGAAAGCAGATAGAATAAGAGGGAGAAGAGAAAATAAGTGGTATTTAAGGGAGTGGGTTGGTTAGTCTTTTATTAACTTACTAAGTTTTCTTAACTCTATTTCACCTTTCTTTCTCCTAAGGGTAATAGATTGGTACTCAGTATTTTTTTTTTTTTTTAAACAGAGTCTCACATGGTCACCCGTGTTGGAGTGCAATGGCACTATCTCTGCTCACTGCAACCTCCACCTCCCGGGTTCACGCAAACCTTCTGTCTCAGCCTCCCAAGTAGATGGGATTACAGGTGCCTGCCACTGGCTACCAAGCCGGGCTAATTTTTGTAGTTTTTAGTAGAAACGGGGTTTCACCATCTTGAACTCCTGACCTAATGATCCAACTGCCTCGGCCTCCCAAAATGCTGGGATTACAGGTGTGAGCCACCGTGCTCGGCTGGTACTCGGTGCTCTTTATACTAGGTCAACAACTACTTTGTATTTGACTATGTATTCTAAAGACTTTTTTGAGGACCAGGCATGGTGGCTTACGCCTGTAATCCTAGCACTTTGGGAGGCTGAGGTGGGTGGATCACCTGTCAGGAGTTTGAGACCAGCCTGGCCAACATGGTGAAACCCCATCTCTACTAACAATACAAAAATTAGTTGGGCGTGATGGTGCATGCCCATAATCCCGGCTACTCAGGAGGCTGAGGCAGGAGAATCGCTTGAACCCAGGAGGAAGAGGTTGCAATGAGCAAAGATTGCATCACTACACTCCAGCCTGGGTGACAGAGCGAGACTCTGTCTCAAAAAATAAATAAATAGCCGGGTGCGGTGGCTCACGCCTGTAATCCCAGCACCTTGGGAGACTGAGGCAGGTGGATCACAAGGTCAGGAGTTCAAGACCAGACTGGCCAACATGGTGAAACCCCGTCTCTACTAAAAAATACAAAAATTAGCTGGGCATGGTGGCTCGTGCCTGTAATCTCAGCTACTTGGGAGGCTGAGGTAAGAGAATTGTTTGAACCAGGATCCAGGAGGTGGAGGTTGCAGTGAGCCTAGATCACACCACTGCACTCTAGCCTGGGCTACAGAGCGAGGCTCCATCTCAACAATAAATAAATAGACCGGGCTTGGTGGCTCACGCCTGTAATCCCAGCACTTTGGGAGGCTGAGGCGGGCAGATCACGAGGTCAGGAGATCGAGACTATTCTGCCTAACACAGTGAAACCCCGTCTCTATAAAAAATAAATAAATAAAGTCTTTTTAGAGAATATTTAATCTCCCAAGTTGCAAGTTTTATGAGCAGGAACTGCATTCTTTCATATCGTCTCCTCCATTGCCCAGAATTCTAAAAAGTAAGTACCAGTAAATTCTGACTTTCCCCAACCCTCCCCCGGTTCCCCTCCTCCCCCGATGCTCTCCCCCAGGCCTCAGAGATAGCAGTTGCCAAGTGGAACAGCTGCCTGGGCTCTTCCCAAAGGACGTGAGAAGCATCAAAGAATTGCAAATGCAAGGTAGGGAATGGGTCCTTTTGGGAAAATGATATTGCCATTCCAAAACATTTTTACCTTTGAAGGATTTCTCGTCTTCCCGCTCCCTAGCCCATATCTCAAATATCCTATTTTAAGGATATGTATCCTCCCAAGAGGTTTTTTGGAAACCAATCTTTAAATTAACTGTTATTACCTAAGACATGCCTATATTACTCAAACGGATGGAGATGAAGAAAAGGAGGCAGCACCTACCCCTCTCTGTATTAAAGAAAATCTATGAGCATTTCTCTGTGCTAAATTTACTGCTGTCACCAAGCTTCATGGGAACCATGGCAGGAAGAAAGGCAGGACTTGCATATTAGTACTATGAATATACACTGAGGACGGGTGCGGTGGCTCACGCCTGTAATCCTAGCACTTTGGGAGGCTGAGGTGGGTGGATCACCTGAGGTCAGGAGTTCAAGACCAGCCTGGCCANCATGGTGAAACCCCATCTTAAAAAAAAAAAAAAAAAAGAACATACACTGAAGAAGTTAATTAAAAGGAGGAGAAAGTACATCAGTGGAGTTTAACAGGAGTCATGAATGGAAGTGGGTTAGCTTGGCACTGTTCAGATTAAGAACCAGCTTCAGCTGGGCACAGTGGCTCATGCCTATAATCCCAGCACTTTGGGAGGCTGAGGCAGGTGGATCACTTGAGGTCAGGAGTTTGAGACTAGCCTGACCAGTATGGTGAAACCCCATCTCTATTAAAAATAGAAAAATTTGCTGGGGTAGTGGCACAAGCCTGTAACCCTAGCTATTTGGGAGGGGCTGAGGCAGGAGAATCGCTTGAACGTGGGAAGCAGAGGTTGCAGTTAGCTGAAATAGTGCCACTGCACTCCAGCCTGGGCAACAAGAGCAAAAGCTTCAAGGTCAGGTGCCCTGGCTCACGTGTGTAATCCCAGCACTTTGGGAGGCCAAGGTGGGAGGATTGCTTGAGCCCAGGAGTTCGAGACCAGCCTGGGCAACATAGCAAGACCCTGTCTTTTTAAAAAATTAAAAAATTAGCCAAGTACAATGGGATAAACCTGTAGTCCCAGCTACTCAAGAGGCTGAAGTGGGAGGATTACCTGGAGATTGAGGGAGTTTGAGGCTGGAGTCAGCCATGGTCACACCACTGCACTCCAGCTTGGGTGACAGAGTGAGGCCCCATCTCAAAAAGCCAACCAAACAAAAAACAAAACCAGCTTCATTTTTCTGTCTGATTCTTCTCCTTCCAGAAACTCACACAGAAACCAAAAGGCCAACATTCATCCAAAATCGGACTGTAGCTACCCTGCAGTGCCTTGGCTCTGTCAGCAAAGTAAAAGTCAACCTTGTATATTTGGAGAGAAGGCCAAAGGTCAAGCATACTCTGAAGAACCTGAGAATCATTGCCGCTCCCCACAGAAACAGCTCTGCCTCCTCAAGCTGTCACCTAATCCCCATATCCACGTTTCAGACTGGATCTCTTCTAACAGGCAAAGGTGAGATTGGAAAAGTGGAAGGGGGCAGGCACTAACTTTTAGTTGACATGCTTGAAGGCAGCTGGAGTTCAGTAGCAGAAAGAGCTACACGGAAATTAATTATCCTCCCCTTGGGCAAATCTATGTGCTCTCTGAGAGTCAGTTTTATAGTCTCTAAGATCCCTTCTAGCTCTGATATGCTGTGATTTCCATGTGATCTCCATTTCTGATGGGTCTTCTCTTGACAGTTTTTCAAAATTTCTTTTTTTTTTTTTTTTTT